TCCAAACAAAAGCGTAATTCAGTCTGGTAAGAATTTTTTGAATAAACTCCCAAACCCGCTTGTGTTTGGCCTGCTGCAGCTCGGAAACTTGCTCCAAGATTAGAGCTCTAGGTCTGGACGCCGCTATGTATTTAAGACCCTTCAAAGTCACAAAGCCGCGCTGGTCTCGCGCGCCCTGTCGTTTACCGAGCCGAGAGAACGAAGGGCACGGATACCCCGCAACATAGAGATCCGCGCGCGGCGCGGTCAGGTCATTTCGCGTCATGATATCACTGACTGATTTGCCATGTCCATCAGACCAGCCACAAGCAGTAGCGACGCTGGAGTGCAGAATCCGCTTGTCTTTTGCAACCTCCGAAATCATCACCACTTGAACCCGCTTCTGCAAGCCCAGCAATCTCAGGGCAATCAAATCCGATCCATACCCCGCACAGTCAGAGACTAGGCGGATCATCCCTTCATCAGATGGCGCCGGGTGCAAACCCAGACGCCTTCGCCAACTCGAGGACAAGTTGTTGATGTCATTCACCATCTCTCGCTGAGCATCATTTGGCACATCCTTGTCTGATCTCTTTCTTTTAATGCCCGGCATGATTTCGAGCTGAAATGGCTGCAGAATTCAAACAGTGACAGTTCCTAGCGATTAGCAAGAGATTGACCACGCCGCAACATTGCTTTTTTCCCGACAGCCGCTTGGCGCTATCAGGGTTTGGCCTGCACGCGCGCAGTCAGGGTCTTGTTGACGCACTTCCCCGTGAGCCAAGTCACAAACTCGTTGCCTGTCAGCAACAGGACGCCCCGAACCCCCTGAACTCTTTCAGAGGAAGCTTTCAAATGCAGAGATGGTCTTCGGCCCCTTCCACGGAGACCCTCCACAGCGACAGCCTGCCAGCCATGTGAACAGGCATCCCGCAAAATCATGGTCATCCCAGGCTCTTGTGTCTTGAAATCGTTGCTCGTGAACACCGCGACCGGCAACATCAAGCCTGAATTATAGGTGACCTTTGCACCAGATCGCCCTTCCAAAACGCTCCCGGATAAGATGGTGCCTCCTCGGAGGGCAGCCATGAGGCGCACCTTCCGATGCACGGAGCCAAAATCCTTGACCACAAACAACTGCCCTTGCCGCAGGTCCTTAGAAAAAAGAAGACAAAAAGCAAAGTTGAATGAACGCCTTGCACGGCAAAAAGCTACATAGAAACATGAACGTACATCATTTTTGTAACTGAGCCACAGTGCAAAAGCTCACAGAGTCCCTGCATTCCTGCCTCAACATAGCTTGCCATGCCGGATGCAAACCTGGCTCAGTCTTGTCCAGCCACACATTTGTAGGCAGGTCCCTCAATGCCCACTGGCGCGTTTGCATCTCATTGGCCATTATTCTTGTCTCTTCGTACGTAGTCCACGCCTTCCGGCGCTTCGCATCGCTCGCATTGTTTCCACGCAACTGATCTCGGGCCACCTGACGGACTGAATCAGTAATCTCCTCGTCCAGAAGGTACCCATCCAGAAATGCTTCTGCCTTGCGCTTGCCTGCCTGGGTTCTTTGACGGTCCGTCTCCTTCTGCAAGCTTTGTGGCAATTCGACAGGAGCGCGCCTGGGTGGGGTCACCAACTCGGCGTCATCTCGGGTCGCCCGCGCAACTGCTGCACGCCTGCGGCGATGCCATTGAGCCTCGGTTTTCTTCTTGCCAGGCAGTGGCCTCAACTTCCGTTTGCTGCCCGCATCCAACCTCCTGGTCTTTGCAGAAGCACGCGCTTTCCCCGAGCGAAGCAAGCCCACGTAAAGCTTCTGCGCTTCGGTGATGAGGGTGTCTTCATCGGACTTCATTCCCTGCGCATCATCACCCATGACGATCGCCAAGCGCCGGTCGGTGTCCACAGACGCCGAAGCGAGCTCTACCGGAGATCTTTTGATCTTGGAAAAGAGCTGCTCCACGCCAGAAGTGCTTGCGGACCATGTGAAGTAGCCGCATAGGACCTGTTCACAATGACAAGCATGGTCGACCTTAATTAAAAAATGACCCATGAGAAAACAATTCAGTGCTACAAAAAACCGGCCTCGGAGAGCTCCTTCGGCACGTGTCGTTCTCGAACTTTTTGCCTCGACACTGTTCTTCGAATCGCCTCTGTCCAGGCCGCTCGGTTGACCATCGACCCTTGTTTGTGCAACGCCTCGGCAACAGGAAGGAGCCCAACATATTGCTTTTGCAAGGCTTCAGGGCAAACATTGAAAGCTTTGGCTAACTTCCTCAGACAGGCCCTCACAGTCGATGAATCCTGCTGGCGAGAGTCGCGACGGCTTTGCAAATTGAAAACTGAAAAGCAAGACAGCAAGTGCCAACTGGGAAATTCACTTTCCACACTGGCTTCTGCTGCAACAGCCCATTCCTGCATGACCTTCAAAGCATACACCTTGTCCTCCTGAGTGATGCGAATTTCGCGAGGGCATCCATCCAGCATGACAGTCAGGTCGCCTCTTTGCAGGGTGTCGATCATGTCCTTCGTGAAGGTAGGCAATTCAGTGACTCTTCCATCGACAAAAAGAGTGCGAATTGTCCTGCAAAATTTATCTGCTTCCTGATTCAGCTGGGCGATGTCAGACGATTCCTCATCTGCAAACCGCGTGAAATCCAGACTTGTGTGCGCTGCGTCCGCGCACATGCTTAAAAGCAGCATTTTTCTCCCAGTCAAATTCCTCAACAGCTTCCCAGCCCATAGCGCGTTCTCACCCCTCATCGCATCAATGCGTTGGCACACAGCCACCATCGCCACACTGTTCCGGCACAAACGTCCCAGTGGGAGAGCGTATGAGCTGAACCGATGCTTAGCTGCGCTGATGCTACTGCCAGTGGTGAATTCTTCATCCTCCTTGTGTAATAGCGCCTCGGCCCACCAACCTTTGAACACATTTGAATGAAACACCTTCTGGCAAAAGCTGTCAGAAGCAGTGACGAATTCAGATGTCAGACTCTTAAGTGTCTCATGGTGGCACAGGGGTCTCTTCAACAACCTGGTGCTCGCGTGCGCAATGTCGCGGCCCACGATGCGAATGTTAGGGAAATCCGCTTGCAGCTGGCCACTGCATGCATAGGCTCTGCGTCCCCGTAGGATATCGCCTGAAACAAGCTCTGCAGCGGCTGCATCTGAAACGACCATGGTGACTTTCTTGCGGATTTCAATTTCCAGACTAGCAGGATCTACATTCTCTTGGTCTGGCAAGGCGCAGTTCCGCAGAAGGCCTTGGTGAGGAGTGCAAAAGTCTGTGAGAATCACCTTTGTGACCTTTGAGAGATCATCGCCAGATCCCTCACACGGTCTCAACCCCAGCACTCCACTGACGACAGTGAAGTCGTCACCCAGGCATGCGCGATACCGGACCAGCAGCCGCCCCTTGCGCTCGTCGCGGAAGAGAGCTACACAACGGGCTTCAGCCATGTGTTTCCTGGCTCGCCTAAGATGCGCCTCGCTCAAAGCAAATCTCACGCGCGACTTCCTGTCTGAGGCTGAGCCGCCTTGGCGTGCGCTGCCACCTTGTCTCATGTGCTTCAGCGACTCTTGGAACTCTTGCTTTGGCGGTGCCATGGCAACTGCTTCCTGAGAGTCACAGTGCTTTACAGCTGCTTGGTGAGTCTTACTCTTCTCGTGTCTGCCCACCTTATGCAAAGTCAACTGGCATGGGTTCTCATTGAACTCGGCCCAAGGCCCTGTCAGACCGTGGCGAGCGCACTTCGCACAACCTGCCCCGACTTGCCTGGCCCCAGACATCGCCAAAAAGAGCCAGCGAGGTTTTCTTTTGCCCTGACAAAACTTATGCCAGCTACACAGCCGACAACGTTTCTTTTGGCAGGACTTGAGATGTTGCTGAACCAGGATTCGAGGCACCAATTTGGGCAACTGTGGTTTGCCGGCCATGGTTGTCGTATAAAGCTTTCTATAGTTAGCCTATGGACCCCGCGGCTAACTTTTAAGATCGAGCCACGCCAACGAAACAAAGTTGCAAAATGAGAAGGCGCGACGACAGACACAAACACAAATTCGAGGGACACTATTTTACAACAGCCTGCGAATCAGTTCAAGTCAGTTAATCAGATGAATGCAAAATTTGCCCCGTTTAAAGGTCGACCCGCAGGTCCCGCCCGCAGGCGATGCGACCCGCAGGTCCCGCCTGCAGGCGATGCGACCCGCAGGTCCTCCCCACAGGCGATGTGACCCGCAGGTCCTGCTGCCACAGGCGATGTGACCCGCAGGTCCTGCCCACAGGCGATGTGACCCGCAGGTCCTGCCCACAGGCATTGACATTGAAGAAGACCGCCGCAGGGATGAGGAATCGGGGACCCATTCAAAGACTTATAATGATGTAATCAAAGTCAAGCATGGGTAGTAAAAGAAAAGTGGCAACTAAGTTGCGTATGTAGAATCTGCCAGTGTGATGTCGGTGGGGAAGGTGGAAGACTCAGCACCTAATGCCCTTAATAATCAACTGGCTGCAGCCAGACGAGCAACGAAAACACAACCACTAAAATCACCCAAACACAACCATACTACTATAACCACCTTGAATTGAGTCACCAAGAAAACCATCTTGCAACCAGACAACCATTGAACAACACCAAGCTTGTAGGTGCCAACTTCAAGAAACAAACTACCTGAAGTCCCAAAGTACGGTACAAGCTACATCAAGCTACCTGTTTTAATAGGGTCATGGCCAGCCCCATGTTCTAATCAGTACGTACTGCAGTCGGCTCCCATGGAACGTGGGCCGTCCGAAAACGAGCCATTCGGAGAATTCCAGCAAGCGTTTGGCGCCGAGCCGTGGTTCGTGTCGTTCAAAAACGGAACCACCACAACCACCACAAAGACAAAAACAATGAAGAAAAACAAAAAAACAAACGGTATGGACATGGTGGTTGGAGAGTTTAACTTTTGAGGGAGTAGAGGACTTTGAAACCACCAACACCTTGAGAACTCAAAACCCTGAATGCTTCGTGCCAAGCGGCTGCATCTTCCACACGGTTTGCTGTGTGGTGCAGCTATAGTAGTCTTGGCAGCCCTTGCGGGAATCTTCACAGGCCTTCTCCTCATTTTCACAGGCTGTGGCTGTGGAAGTGGCAAAACATATAACTTTCTTCAGCCTCCCGGCAACTTGCAGTAGGCTACTAGTGCCCCTAGTGCCGCAAATGCTGTCCACTCAAATGGAGAACACCCAGGTGAACATGGATAAAACAAAAACAACAGCACCCTCCAACACGTTGCAATTGGACGACTGTTAGACCAACAAAACAATTGTAGACTGTTAGATTGTGTGACTTTGGTCCAAATCAAAGCTGTTGGATTTTTTGTGTTGGACTCTGAATCCATCAAACGCTTGGGAAATGTGCCTGTGGCGGTTGCTTAGGACGTCACAAACATGTACAGTGTCAAAATGGGGATGTCTTCGGAAGTTCTCACAGGTCACCAGTTGTAGACTGACTGTTAAGTTCAACAGTCTTGCCCAGACACCCAAACAGTCCTCCGTAAATATGTCAGTCCCATCAGTCGTGTCTGGGACTGTTAGATCCTCGCCCAATTAACCTCCTGTCAACACGTGTCAACACGTGCCTAAAACCACGTGCCAATCGTGTGTGTCGTGTCTTTCCCTCCGTGCTTTCTCATTGCCGGTGGGAAGGAGGGGTGAAACAATGGTATCATGTGGAAACGGAGCATGTTTGGACGTGAGGGACGTACCCAGCACCCTCCAACAAGTGCCATTTGTTTTCTTTGAAGTGGGGAACTACTTGGAAGCTCCACGGGTGTCAATTGGACGACTGAAGTTTAACATAACCGAACCACACCAGTTGACTTAGTGCACTACTTGGTGTATATATATATATATAAAATGTATATATATATATACAACAGGTATATAGATGACTATATACTGGTAGATGTATATACTGGTGGGTGACTTAACAGTCACCCCAAAAAATCGGGAGGTGGACTGATGTCATCCACATCTCACCCGCCAGGGAGAACTTGAAAACTCACTCACAAGGTGCGGCCCCCGGCCAAGGCTCGGCCAGATCCAACTCATGAATCTTCTCTTTGAAAAAGCTGAGTTTTGAGGTCACAGACTCCTCCTTGCACCTGCACAAGGCGGCGTCTGGATCATGGAAGTCTCTCTTGATCACGCCCATGGAAAAAAAAAAAAAAAAAACATTTTTCGTCGCAGGCGGCCACTTCGGATCAGCATCGATTGGTGGTCGGACATCATCGAGGGCGCCGGGGTTGTTCGGAGCAAGGACCTATGGTGACCTGTGGTGACCGACCTTCGCCGAAAAGAGTGTGGTGTTTCATTGGAATGGCGCGTGGGTGACAAGGACGAGTGAAAAAGGCACAAAGAACAACCCCACAATACTTGTGGGCTTGCATTGGACACACGTTGGATGGTCCTTGGTATAAAACTAATGGAAGCACATGGAAGTCCCATAATCACTGATCAAAAGAAGCCTGAGAACGAGCTAAAACCCATCCGTGAATTGCTTCAATTGCCTGGCGGTCGTGATTATGGTGACTGATGGTCTCAGCATCGGGTCTTGGGTCTTCTTCTTCTCCATGATCTATGGTATCAGTCTGTATGGAATTGTCTTGCTTGGAAAGTCAGCGATTACCAACAAAAGCTTTCAAGAGAAAGCAAAACCTTACAGTTGACTATAATATGACCATACTATATAGTGGATCATTCCCGCTCATTCTGAATCGATCTGAATCGTGGTGAACCCTCCCTCGGCGTCTGCCTCGAAGTGGTTTGGCAGCCCGCTTGGAACTGCAGAGGGGATGGGCCCACGCCCGGGTTCAGGCAGTACCTTGGGGCCGTACCGGCAGTCCTTCGAGCACGGCGAACTGGCCGCGGTAAGGAAGAAACCGTTGGACGCCTGTTTCGAAGTGAAGTGCCACAAATCGATGAATATCTTCCCGCCTTTTAAATGTCACCATGAAACACATCGTCACATGGCCTTCATGTTGCATCATCTACCTACAGGTTTGGTTGCAAAAGAATGACCAAACCATACCAAACCTCTTTCTATATGAGCAAGCATCCTGGCGATCTTTGCGCATGTCGATCCCTGCCCACCTTCGAAACTCCATGCCGGTGCATGTCGGTGCCCAAACGGTACCGGAATTGGATCCCATGTCAATCAATCTCGGAACTGTTTGGAACAGCGCTTTTGAACCCGCCTTTATAGAGCACCGTTTTGAATTGCTTCGGCAGTTGGGTTGTGAAACTCCCGATCAGCAAAGCGGCTTGTTGGGTTGAACCAGCTCGGCACAGCAAGCGGTGGTGTTCATACATCTACTCCTCGGCGGTTCGATGCGTCAAAGTGAAATGCAGTTTCCGAGATACTTCCGTGTGCTGATGTCTTTAATGGTGTCATAGAGAGAGATCATGGGAAAGCCAAAGGGGCCAAAGTCAGCGAGCAACTTATATGATCCTATGGTTCCGATTTGGAATGCCAAACCCGGACCTCCCAACTAAGCAGAATTGTTGCCTCTTTCATCCACCAAACCGGCCCTCTTGGCAAAAATTATGCATGTCGTTGGAAGAAATTCTGAATGTTACCTCCTGAGGTACGGATGGGTACGGAAGCTCCAATGACTTGAACAATGGCCGTGAAAAATCACCTTCATCAGTCAGATGGACGATCAGCTGGGAAAATCGAAAAATGGATTCTTTACTGTGCTAGGCCGAGACCCTGGCTTCTCACGACACAAGTGCGCGTGGAGAGATGGAAGAGATGGAAACAGGAACTGCTTGCCTCGTAGCACTTTCATCAAGTGTCATTGTGTATCAAATCCATTCAAATCCCCTCTCCAATTCAAGAATTCATCCACAAAAGGACAAAGACGTTTTTCTGGTGTCCTGCGGTGTCCACAAGTCAACAGCCCCAACTCAGAGGGGAATTGTCTTCACCGAGACGGTGGCACCACAGCCCTGAGCGAACAGTGGCCCTCAGAACACCATGTCACCTTGCAACCGAACGGTGGGTTACGAAGAACACGAATCAAACCACAAGTTACGAGTTCATGGAGGCTGATATGAACTCCAACTTGCCTTGCAAAGTGCCAGCTTCTCGGTGCACTTTGCCGGCTTGGAAGTGATTGTTTGGGACCACGTACAACAAAATAGACAAGGGAATCAGGTTCGGTCGAAGAACCAGGTAGACATCACTGAATCCTATAAAAGCCTTCTCAACGGGTCTAAATTGACATGAAATGACCAAATGTTGACACTTTCCCGCCCACAATCATGAAGTGGACAACAGCGCCTTGGAAATCCTTAGAAAACAAGGTTCCTCTCGACAAAGGTTGGGATTCCTCTCCACTTTTTGTGTGGCCGAGGCTCTTCTCCTGCTCACAATGCTCCAATTGAGTATAAATGGCCACTTCCTGGGCTCCGAAGGACGCGCTGAACACATCACTGACCAGCCATGACAGGACTTCCGACACGACTCCGTCGTGCCACAGTGGCGCGTGCGCGACCGAAGGACCGACCGGGTCGGTGTTTTGTGCCCGGGACCGAGTCTCGGTCGGTGAAGTTGGGAGACCCCCCACAGTTAAGAATGGGAACGGCCTGGTGGCGCAGGGAAATCACCCATCTTTTTGGCAAAGACCTTGAAACCATGGTTGGGGTGCACCTCGGATTGGAGGGCAACATGTGAAGCACACGCTCAGGATCCCAACAAGGTACACTCATGGCACCTTTTCACCTGGCACTGGTAGGGGCGCCCATTGGTCCGACAGCGGGTCTTTTCACAGGTCATGTGTCGACCCAGCAAGTGAGTCAATGTGTCGACACAAGTGAGTCACGCCTTGGATCCATCCAAAAAAAGGCTGTTCCTCTTTTTCATCGCCCCGAACTTCTGTCTGCACGTGCTGCGCGAAAGGAAGGAAGGAAAAGGGCCGGAAAAGGGGAGGTTCGCAAAGTCAAGGCTCTTCCTGCTTGCACGTGAGGTGTTTCCAGCGGTGCGCATGGATCCTCATCCAGAAGGACCTGTGGGCCTCGTTGATGCGAGACAGCCGAAAGGTGCAGTTCACCATGGCGTCCTGATGAGGCGAGGCGGCAAAGGAAGGGTATTCACATGAGAAACCATGTGGGCTGGTGGAGTGTGCGGCAAATACGAAGCCACGGAGATCCATGGCACCACTTGGTGTTCTACATCACTTTGGACTGCTTTGCAATGCATGTCTAGCAGTCCGCGATGTCCATATAACGGGGTTGAAAGTAACTTCTTTCCCCACCTGTCAGGTGAGGGTTGTTAGATTTTTACCGATGTGTGTGTCACGTGTCTTCGCACGCATGGACCCATGGACGAAATAAACCACTCCGTTTGGTGGGAAATTCCCAACCAGGTGGCTTCACCACCTCCGCTCCTTCTTCTGGCGGATGTGATGCTGAATGGCGTCGTTCGTGGAAAGCACCGCCCCGATCATCCTGGGATACGTCTTCGAGGGTTTAAAGGCGAGACATGTAGACTTTTGCGAGATTGCTACCCCCCATGTGCAAAAGGTTTATACAATCCAAATCGGAGGGGTGTTCATCAATGAAGGGTCTGCATTAGTCATTGAATCTGCTCCAGAAACGGTGCGAAACAACACAAAAGAGGATTCACCCACAGGGAAGGAACATCAACATCAACGTTAGTAAAACCAGTGACACCTCGGGGCATGGAATGATACTGACCGATTGGGACGAAAGATTGCCACCTTTGCCGATGGCTTCATGGGATTTCAATCCGCCGCGGAGACGATCGTTGGGACGGATTTTTGTTTGGCAGTGTTTGCTGTGCATCCATTATGTCACGAAGTCGATTGTCGATTGCTGCCCCCTCCAACATGGGTGTGTTTCTGAATAGGCGGACCACCCGGCCCAATGGATAGACTGGTCTATTTCCCTGGACCTTTGGGCGGTCTCCCGGTGTTAAAACACTCATATAATGTGATATCATATGGGCCATATGGAACCGGGTCGGGATGATTTGTTGCCAAGGAAGCTGAACAACATGTTCCTCTCGTAGTGATTTCGATGACATGCATCAAGCAGCATCAAGTTCCAGACATTTCACGACACCTTCAGTTGCCCAAGAACCCGCAGTCCGCAACGGAGGCGCTTTTTGATGCTCACATATCCCAAACACTCCATCATACTCCATCTATGCCATAGGACTGCCGCCCCGTTGACCCCCCTGGCACCACCCGAACTGATCGGCAGTCCTATGGCAGTCCCATTAGTCGTGTAAAGGGTATAGACGGTATGAGACTGTGACTTCCCGTGCGCACGCGCACTCCCTCCCACCGCCCTGGGTCGATCCACTTCCACACCGCCGGTCTGCCCGGGTCGGTCGAACTGATCACATTCGAACTGACTCATCCCAAAAGCATTGAGGTCGGGGGGGCCCGAGATTGACCCCAAAACGTCCTGGGGCGACCTGAGGCAGCTCCAAACACCTGAGGCATCGTGGCTCAGGTGACCTGAGATTTCTCCATGTCCCCGACCAGTCCGAAGTCCCAGGCGCTCACGAATGAGGTCACCGATGTTGTTGATCGCTGCCAAGGTACCTCGGGCAGGGTGCCCAGCGGATGACTGCTGGGGGGGTTCTTCATAGCGCCCTAAGTCCAAACACGATCTGAACCACTGAAGCTTCAGCGTCCACGGGTCAGGAACTGACTTCATGAGCACCTGGAGTTGCAAACACAAACACTTTTCACGGACCTGGACCCGGGTCAGGAACCAGGACCTGAACCTTTTCAGGGGTCCGGTCATGAGGGTCACCGCTGAGGCCACGAGGCGTCATCCGAAATCGTTTCGCAAACCCCGAAAGGAAGGGTGGCCGGCAGGGAACCCATCTTCCGTGCCTTGCGGAGGGCAAAAAGATGAAACGGATCCGAGATCATCTGAGGCAGGGTTTGAAAGGATGGGTGGGATCCTGTAGGATCGGAAGCCAACTCAGAACATGCATGCGGACATATCCAACAATATCCGATTCAGCATCAGTCAGTTCAACGCAGAGTTTTTTGAGAGTTTTGTGACTTCCACCCGAAGACATGACACATGGGACTGCCATAGGACTGTCGCCCCAGACTTGACCCCCCTTTCAACCACCCCTGGCCGTTTCTCGGCAGTCCGGACTGGCAGTCCCATTAGTCGTGTTTGGGACCGGAAGACACTGATCTTTGGGCTTTGGTCTTGGCCACTGGGACCGTTGTTCCGTCTCGGCGTAGGAAGACATGGTTCCGAATCGGCGTAGGTTCTGCAAGGTCCCAAAACTCCGGTTCAACGAGTCAATCCAAACCTCGATGGGTCATTGGACCTTTTGCCATTGGAGCTACCTCCTCCCTGAAACAAAACAGAACACGGGCTCTGGATGATTTTGGGAGGTTGGTGTACTATACTAAGCCAGGCAATGGTCAAGAGGTTCAGTTCTCCCCGTAGTCCACTGGGAAGAACTTTAAAGATTTGGTTTACCAGCACTCGAGCGAGGGTCCACTAGCCGTCGACCAGTCATGAGTGTTGGTTCTAGAAGTCTGGAAAGAGCGAAAACATCGCCTCAGCATCAAAAAACAATTGTAACATGATTGCTGCAAGTGCAGCGTTCCGATTATTTCCAGCCCTTTCAATCGCCAAAGTGCTGTTGTCTGGTTCCTCATGGCTTCGCTGCGCCAACTGCAACAAGCTCTGCTCCAAGCGTTCCAAACCCACTGTCTGTTGGGCCTCGAACCGCAAGGAGCAACTGGCCAAATCGAACCAGAGAAGCTTAGCAAATGTTGGCACACCTGAGTTTGGGATCTATATAACATGATATAACATGGAACCTGATGGCATGGACCTTTGAAAGACGGCCTTTTCTCGAACCTGGTTGTTTTCCGGTTCCGGTCTCGGAATGCGGGCGCGACGGTGGCCCCATGCGAACGGCCAGGGTTAGGGCTGTTCAACACGCAGAACGGCCCGGCCCGTGACCCTTGGAATGTTGCGATGGACCTCCTGAAAATGAGTTACTTTCGGAGTCTTGGAGCGCCTGTCCACTCGAGTGACCTAGCCGCCAAGTTCCATCCTGAAAAAAGCCTGTCTTCCACCGAAACGAACCAACGGGGGGGCTGATGGACAGCGATGATGTAACAAGATCATGTCGTAGACGGTGGATGAACAATCCCCTCTTTGGATTGTTCATTCTCTCCGGGCTCTATTCTATCAACAATCCACACACCCCGAAATGATCGTGGAAGGCCACCACCTCTTTGGTCATTCCAGGGGCCACGCCGCCACCCCGGGAGTCCGGAAGTGACCACATCTGCGCAGCCCGGTGACCACGTTTGTACCGACCTCATCCGAACCCACGACCACCTCCACCGCCCCCCGCGCCTCGGAACCACTCGAGAGCGCCCAGGTCTCTGCCAGCGCGGCGAACCAATCGTTGGGCGGCGCCGAGCCGCCGGCGACCGCGCCGCTCGCGGCGCCGCTCGCGGCACGGACGCTCAGCGGTGCGAGGCCAAAAACTGCATTGAAGACCTTGGGGCATTGGGGCCACGTCGCTTTTCTTGGGGGGTCAGTTGAGGAGTTGGTTGCCACCATGATTGGGTGCTGAGAGTCCAAAACAACTCCAAGACCGGACTGGCACCGCCCTGGGACTGGCGACCTCAAAGCGACCGCTCCTGGGGGAAAGAACCAAAGATTTGGGGTACAAAACCGAAACTGTCAGGGATAGTTCTCAACTACATGAATCCACATGCACTGCGCACCTGCGGGAAGGAGCGCGAAAATCGAGCAAGGCATGGGCAAGAGCTTCCCCTATACAAGTCCAAAACCTCCAATTGAATGAGCTCCCTGACCAGTAGTGGTATACCTTCGATGGTCCTTGACTTTCAATCAGGGAGCCAGTGGTTCCAATCCCTTCACTTCAGAGAACCGCTTCCGTGTTCACACGGGCGACCGACCCCACAGACTGCGCTCCACCCGCCACCCGCGGGTGGAGGTGCGCTGGCGCGCCCTCCACCCGCCCTTCTCACCAAGCGACCAAGAGGACCCGAGCCATGGCGCTGGGAGGAACGGCAGGATTTGGCCAACCGCAGCGGCAGATCGGCCGAGAGATCGTAGACGCGCGCGAATCGGCGGGAGGCCAAACGGGTTGGGTTTTGGGATGGTGTTTTGTTGGGTTGTGAATGGACAGTTACAGGGGAGCAACAGCACCGAAGAAGGCGAACAAGGTCATTGTATCTTCGACGGATCCGATCCACATACCATTCCAGCCTACATCAAAGAGGCTCCTTCCTCACCTTCTCAGGTATGTGGATCCATAGGGCATTTCCATTGTCAGGCGGTGCGGTGCATGAAACAAGTCCATCTCACGCGAATGTGGGTATTTCCAACGGGCTTGGGGCAGGGAGACATTGGATTTGCTGTCCAGGAAGCATCAGGACGCTGGGAAAAATAAACATATTCCCGTCCAGGGGTGACCCATATTATATAATAGGCTATAACAAACTATAATAGTAGGGAACATGGATGTAAAACCAAGGAGATGTGTTTTCAGGGTCCTTTCCACAAAATCCACAGTTCATGAGGAGTGAAAAAGGGAAAACGGATGGCCAGCGACGGATATGGTGTTCTGCCCCTGCTTCTTTTCACACTAGACAGGCCTTTCTTGTCTTGGATCATGTCTCCATGTTCCGTTGGGAGGGTGAGTAGTTTGGAACCTGAAGCCTCTACCAAGTGGCGCTTCCATTTCTCCAAATGATGTCTTGAGATAGGCGAAATCTTTTCGAGTTAAGGGTTTTGGTGACCAGGTGGCCGGGAAGGTCATCTTTCATAAAACACCTTTTCGAATGTTTCTGGGTGAAACAAAGCATGATGTTTGATTCTTGGACTTGATTGTCCAAAGACACGAGATTCACGAAATGGACATCAAGATCCTGAACATCAAACTTCTCCTGGCTGGTGAACAACATACTTTCCGCAGAACTCCTGGTTCTGAAGGACGCCAACACAAACCAATGGTGGCAAACGGCTATAATATATACAAACCGCCGCTTGGAAATGGTTGGCTAAGCTTCTAGCCAGGGTTTTGCTTGAAGGAACCTGGATAAACCTCTTCCCTGTCAAAGAACTCACTCATCGTTACCCATGTCATTTCCAACTGAGGGGCAACCCAAAATATATACCAAATAGACCAAGGGATTCCGAGGGATTCCAGTCCATCTGCTCCAAAATGCTCCAAGTCCTCACAGATCTCACCCCCAAGTCGATCCCAAACACTCCATGGAACTGGCTACCGATCAGTTGACCCCGCCCTCGTTCCACTACCCCTGGGCCGTCCTATGCCGGTCCCAAACAGGTCTCACACTGGGGATTGAACCACCTTCACACTCTCTCTCACCGGTCAGTTCCCGCTACCGGTCGCACCTGAGCGGGGGACAAGTCCGGCGTCCCCGGAGTGCTGGGACCGGCCATCGAGGCGCTGCGGCTGGGACGGTGCGACTGGCGCCTGGGCGCGGCTCGACCCTTAGTGCTTCCTGTCGAGGTGGATGGTGCCCTGTCTGGAGACCTGCAAGTGTGGAGATATCCAGCCAGGTGACCCTGAACGGAAGCAGCTGGTAGATTTCCAAGAGGTCCCAAGATATGGGTTCATGCAGTCAGCCGAAAGAAGGAGCCTCCGGGTTTGAATCACTTGCCGTACTTCCTTGGTCCTACCTGTTAATCTCGCCAGCCTTTCCGACAGCCTGTAGGGTCCTTGGAACTTCCCTGGAAGAATTGAATCATTCGCGGCATCGCCACCCGATCGCCGCCGCGAACCCCGCTCACACCAGCAGATACCAGCAGGGATAGGACCTATAGGATCCTTGAGTCCTTCGGTGCGTTCCTCAACCCCCCCCCGCCCCGTAGCTGCGAGAGGGAGCCGTGACGTGATGAAGATCGAATCTGATTATTGGCCGTGAGGTTCCCAACCGTCCCAACCAAACCCATTAGATTGTTGACATCATCACCCTACATCTGTTCATTTGTCAGGGGTCAAAACCCGCGAAATAGATGCAAGTCATGTAGTGGTGGATGAGATCTCAAAGCCTGCAAAGGGTTTTACCATCCATGGACATGGGGCAGGTGATTCATGAACAGTCTACACCTAGAGCACAATTGACCTCTCACTAAATGCTTTGTATCCACTGCGCACAGGAGCCCGAACATCCCAAGACCAATAAAATTACAACTTGCCATCTTCGGTCGTACTATTTCTCGAGTCCTTTTCTCTCAAAGGGCCCTCCAAAAGCCAATTGGCCCATCCAAAACAAGACGTAATTGGGTATAGTTAGGACCCTGATTTTGGCAATTTGTTTGACCTCCAAACCAACATCCGAACTCCAAACCCTCATATATACATGTTGGGGTGATCATGGTGATACACTGTCTCCAAAAAGAATCATGGTCAAGCGGCTGGGCCCCCCAAGTTCGGATGACCATGAAATCCTCACTCCCAAACAGCTGGTGCCATGCATCAGTGCCACCCACGTTATCATGATGTCATGCGATCCTTTCCAAGCGGAACAAACCCAACAGCTGGAGGACCCACCCTGCCAAAACCTCCAAACCCTTCACCCCCCCCCTCCCAAGGCCTCGAGGGCGTGGTGCCCCCCTGAGGTGTCGTACCAACACCCATCTGAAGGGTGTTGGCGCCGCCTGTCGCAAACGAGGCCCAGGCGTTCGAGCGAACGCGCTTCCGCGAACCGCCCGCCACCGCGAACCGCCGGATCCGCCTCCGAGACCTGAGAGCGAGCCGCGGCCCTTCAGTTTTCCTTTCCTCGGCGGAGTGCGCGTTCGGAAAAACAGCAGCACGCAACGGGACGCTGCATCTTCCTGGTGAACTTGTTGTTCTATGTTCCTGCTTCTTAAAGGTATACCTTTTGTCTTTTGATATCCTGCTTGGAGGTCACAAACAGGCCACAAGGAAGGTCATTTGGACTCCGGTCACCGAAAGATGAAAAGCTGGTCAAGAATATTCAAGAATCATATCGTGTTGCGGTGGGCATTTCACCTTTGGAGCTTTGCAGATAGGAGAGTGGCGGGGAAAGGACAAACGTGTCCTCCCCAAACAGTGACGTGTCCCAAACCGGCAGAACTACCAGTTCAAAACGGCAAACTCATAGCCACCAACACCTCACCCCTATCCACAACCCACAAAAGCCTGACCTCTTCGGATCTCGCGTTGCACGGAGTGCTAAAAATCACCAACACCAACACCACCAACAAGAGCAACAACAAGTCCTCTCAAATTTGCCGCCGCTTGCCTGAGTCACCGCCGGAGAAATGGGTCACCCATGGTCACCCTGTTTTTGTTCAGACCGGAGTTCCACGGGTGAGCCGGCTTGACGGGTGAAAGCAGGCTTCGGATTGAAATGAACAAGAAGTCCATCCAGCATCCGACTTTGGGTTGGACCTGGAAACCGAAGCAGGCGAAGCTTGTTGATGTGGTTGGATGAATGATTCGACCACCTTTCAACGGAGGGAAAGGTTGGTTTTTTCCGGAGGGGCTCGGTCCAAGACCGTGGACCGTTGCCGCCAGGCAACAGCTCTTTTCCTTTGCTTACGCCTCGGCGTCGATGGGACTGGCCACAAATCTGGCAGAAAAAGAACACGGATCTTCGGGAGTTCTCATCACCCAGTGTCAGTGGTGAAAAACACACGGAAACACCGAAACCACGGAAGGCTCCAACAACTCGGCGGAAAACCCCATCAAACACCTCTCCTTCTGTCACCAGAGCGCCCTTCCGCGCCTGGTGTGGGCGCCACCACGGGGAACTGTCCAAAGCTCCAACTCTGCGAGACCGGCGCGGAGGAGGTCCCGGGCGCCGACGCGGAGGAGGACGTCGCAACGCCTGACGTCGTGGACGTCGGCACCACGGTGGCCGGTGCGTGTGATCGTTTTTTATGTACCTTGAGTCTCCAATGACCCTTTTTAATGAGTCTTTGGAGACTCAAGGTATGTTTTTGAGGTGTGTGTGTGTGTGTGTCATGGATGGTATCATTGGGAAAAAAGGAGTGGTCTCGCTCGATGACACGCCAACGGCTTGGGCAACATCTCAAAAGAACGACACATCTCAATGACATTCGGGCACCCACACGTCAGGCTCCGCTCGCCTGGCTCAGCTTCCTTGGGTTTGGCTGCCTGGCGCACCAAACTTTCTATCTACACCGATTCGCAACAGCTTTGCCAAAGGAGATCCAAAAAACACTTCATGAGCGGAATATTGACCGAACATATTCGCATTGGGGCAGTTAAGATTCCAATCCCATGGAGTGTCTGGGAATGGAAACCCGAGGTCCTCTATGGGGAACCCAAGGGGACTGTCTCCAGTATAGGCCGGTTCATCGCTTCGATGTTTCTTGTGGTCAAATGCCTCCTGTTTTGTTCTACCACTCTTGGATATTCGATCTGAATATGATGGAGGTTAAAACCCAATCACTCCATGGGACTGCCATATATGCCGCCCCATTGACCCCCCCAAACCACCCCAATGTAGGCATATATATGGCATACATGGAGTGCCCAGGTAATGAAAATGGATATTATACACATTAGGGGCCTGAGCGATGAGAGAGAAGGTGTCGAAACACGAACTTAACCACACAGCACTTCCCGCGCTTTTGCCGGGTGCTTATGCACCCCAAGAAAGGCCCGCACCGTTGTACTGCAAACCAACCAGCCATTCTGACGGCATGGTGGTGAAAATGGCAAGGTCCCAATCAACAACGATACCACTCGATAACGATCGACCTGTCAGGGACTGGCATCACGATGTACGTGTTGTTTAAATGATGTTTGCGCTTAAGGCAGCGATGATTGCCTTGCAAAACCCAAGGCCAATGGAACCTCATCGACATCTGCTAGGTCCGGTTCATGAGCTGGAAGTCTGGGGACAAAACACACATGGCAGGGTTATGTTCAAGAAAACTACCACCAGCCCGCAGCAACCGTGAAACGCCTTAACCCAAACCTCCCAACAAATGGCTTTTGAACGTAACATATCCAATGCTTGCCAGGGT